CTCCCTCTCTCCCTCTCTCTCCTCCCTCTCTCCTCCCTCTCTCCCCCCTCTCTCCCTCCTGGTTTCATTTGCATTGAGACAGACAGTGGTGCACAGAGAACAGCACACAATTGCACACAGCTGTCAAAGTTGCGTTTTGCCTTGAGGATTGTATCGGAGTTGCTGTCAAGTTTCTTCAAATCCACCCACTCGCGCATGAACAGCACACACACTCACACACTTGATAGAAATTGAGTCCATGTGAAAGATCTGGAAACCATCCACAGCCCCCCCCCTCCAGACACCAGTCGGTGTGTCTCCGTGTCCCCTCTCACTCATTACATGACTGGTGATAAATTAGCCTGTTTGGTTCGTTCCTGGCTGAGATGGTTTTAATGAAGCCAGATTCCTTTGTGTTTGCTCGGTGGCCGAGGGCAGCAGGGGTAATTGAGTAGAAAGGGGTTTTTCTCCCCTTGTTTCCCGACAAACCCGGGGACACGGCATGGGGTCAGCAGGCTGAGGGGACGGCCATTATTCTGGACCCACTGCGATGGAGACTGGAGGAGCCGGTGTGCTGCTGGACTCACAGGGTCACTAGATAATTGAACTCCAAGGGGTTCCAGATAACTGGCTTTAATTCAGTTTGGTGTGTCGTCTTTGTCACTCTGCGTGCGTATAGCTTTGTGTTTTATTTTCACACAGCTGTTAACACACAGTTGAAGGTTCCTTTAAAGATGGCCTCGGATCACTTTTATGACTGGGTGCAGTGTCTGTTACCCAAAGGCTGTGCAAAGTGTTTGTGGTGTTCGGCCTTTAAGCTCTCTGTTACAAGTGATATGATCAGATTTCCAGGTGAGTAACAGAGTCCTTCATACCTTTAGTTTATGGGAACTAGGAAATGCCAAAGTACCCACTCTGAACGTATTACTCCTCAGGAGCTGGTGCTTGCTAGAATCCCCTTTGACAGTTCGAACAGCTCTGAGTCTTCATAGATAAGTCACTAATCTTTTTCACATGCTGAATCTGAAAACTCTCACGGTGGCTGGTGGATTACTAAATTCACCAGACACTCGGTTTGTTTTAACTGGCACTGTGTAAAATAATAATAAAACTAGAGCTACAGTATTTAAGTAATGACATAGCCTATTGCCCGTGTTATTCCATTGGGTAAATGTCTAAACCCTTAAGTAAAATACTGGAAATAAAATGCACACAAACCATGAATAGGCTGATTAATTTATCCATAATTTCAGTTTAATGTCACTAGCTCGTCAGAATCAGTTTCTCAGGTTTTAGTGTCTCTTTCCTGAATTTTCCTCTTCTCCTCTATGAATCCTGGCCTTCTTGGCCCAGTGCTAGCCTGATGCCAAAGGTGGACATCATTGAGTTATTTGCTAAACGACGTACCTTCACAGAGATCAGCAGGATCTTCACAGCTTGGAGAATCCCTCGTCAGTAAACGCTCATGTCTGAGAGCTCACCCGCCTTTGCTGGGTAATAATTTCCATCCCGGTTCCACAAGCACCTTGGACAGTAATTATAGCTTATGGAGTCTTCATAGATACGTGACAAATGGCATGGTATATCTCCTGGTGTTTGTTGGAGATTTGCTCAGACTAATTAGAAAATATCTGCAAATTTGTCTTCGAGTCATTCTCCTGAAGTTTAGTGGGACACAAGGCTGCTTGGGCTACAGCAGGACTGTCGTATACTGGTCTGCTCTACTTTTACAGAACCAATATGTTGTAGTAAATTCACATCCAGTAGGAATGGGGTATGATGGAGGGTGAGGTGATTTCCTCAGACTAAATAACATTTTGTCCTCATTCGGAGTCTTTACATGTCCCTGGTGCTTGTGTCTTTGTGTGTACAGTTCACACTCTTAACGCTGTCTACTCAACATCTTCCACCCTCGCTCTGAGATTCATTCAGATTCATTTTCTGTATTCTCACTGACCAAGATACCCCGTGTCTGCCTGCTGCGTCTGCAACTTGTGGAAGATTGGCCAATGTGCTAAAATAGATCCAAGTCAGTCAAATTATTGTGTCTATTTGAATTATTTGGGAAGGGTATCCTTTATATACTCTCTTTACTGTGGTATTTGATGAAGAAAGGGAGCAAATATTCACATTTGAGAAGCTTGGGCCATCAAATGTTTGATGTTTTTGCTTGACAAATTAAATTTAGATGAAAAAAAGCCAATTTATTGTCTTTAGTTTAACTGATTGTTTCAGCTGATCATGCACAGTTTATTGTAGAGTTTCTGCTTTGACATGAAGCTTGTAGGAACTTGCACATAAAACAATCATTTAATTCCAGTCATAGTTGTTAGCTCTTAGTGCTCTGATCTGAGGCACGAGGGCTCAAAACGTTAGCATTTACTTTATATATTTTCTTGGACCATGCCTTCAAAATATTAAAATCGATGTGATTCAGCATTTGTAAAACTTTTTTTTTTCCTGTAGATCTGTGTGTGCTGCTTTTTTTTTATGCCTTTGTGTGTGAATCCTGGGTCCAACACTGGGTCCAGTCATAGTTGATGAAACATGTACCTAACCCAGTCTGGACATTTAACTATCACAATAATTTGTAAAAACTGAGAATATCTGCTCTATGTATTTTTGTGTCAGTTCCAAATCTCAGAGAATCTACGGTGAATTGTGGCCGTATACAGAACTTAATTCAAATAAAACTAAGTGGCTTGAATATTCTTTGAAGTAGTGTAGGCTTTGTTTAATAAATGGGTAAA